AACGAGGTCGAAAAATGCCCTGAGAAAGTCAATGCCAATTGATGGCAAAGGGGACTGCAGCGAACGGTGAATACCCAGCGGAACGTGCAGCCGAAGACCTAGGTTCAGGTAGTTACGTCGATGACCGTAGTGGTTGGCGCCATTGGCGGCTACTAGCCTTGTGACAAAGAAGCGTAGGCTCATCTGCACTAGGGGAATGACCTGACTTCGCCCCCGGTATCAACTAAGAACTGGGTCCTCGAATTATAATCCTAATGTAGATGATGACGACTTTGGCTTTGCCGACACCGTTAGTCGCCCATTACGGTCGGGCCTGAAAGTTTCCTCTGCTTCGCGGCGAAGAAACTGTCATGGTTACTCGTTCTCTCACCACGGCGTTCTGTTACCTAAACGGCGGGCGGTAAAAGCAAAAGCCTGAATGTTCATCGCTTTTCGTTCGAAACGACGAGGTGATGAGCTGGCGCGGCGGCAAGTTGCTTACGGTCGATTGGGAGAAGGTTCTCGACTGGGCGTTGTAGTGACGCTAATTTGCGATGAAACTTACTGCGTCGATTGCTAGCGCCTTCACTAGTCGCACGCGATTTGTCGCTGGGAGCGCTACGACGGGCAGCGAATCGAGTAAGATGTCCCTAGATTCGTTCGTCGGTCTGATGATTTCGTTTGATGAGCACGGTCTGCTAGTTTCTGGCAAACTGCTGCCTGAGACGGCAGGGCGCTTGCTCACGGCTACGGATGGCCTGTGTGTGTTTCCTTGGGACGTGTATGCCATCCGCATTTCGCGGAGAAAATCAACATGCGCCTTTGCTGTAGGTGCCGTAGAGCTGTTTGCAGATCTGTCCGCACCTAAAAGGCGCTGTAGGCCACCCTGTCTCCTACGCTGCAGATCCCTAAACTGCTTGCTGCTGACTCGGACCTATGTCAGAGGGGTGTGGTGCGCTGGATGATCGCCCTGCTTTTTTCAAGTCCTCATTTTCTCGCATCGGGAAGAGGCGGGCAGAGCTTTGATACTCTACTTACCTTGTAGGATGAATACACTTTGCGGAAGCCGGGACATAAGTTATTGATGATTCTGACATTATCAGGTGAAATTTTGCAACTGTAAAACTGTGGCATTCTAACTGCCGCAAATCCATAGCAACGGTTCCCATTCTCGCAAAATAGAGGTTGTGGCGGCCTAGGCTCTACGGCACTAACCACGTAGAGTGGATGCTTATCCTCAGGACTATTCATCGTGAGAAATTAATTTAAAGTTATATGCGGCAAGTGGGAAAACAAGTCGGTTGGCGAGTATTGATTCCTAAGTTCTCTTGGGTACGAGCTCACCAAAATGAAAATTCATAATCGCGGGTCTGGCGTGTGTTCTGGTCCGGGGTCACCAATTGTTTGGGTGGCGAGCTTGGGATTCTAGGATCGGTAAGGAATGAAACGTAAGGCAGTGTCAAATACATCACGGTTATAGAAGTAGGGGGCGACTGAAACCCTGGCGTTATATTTTGCAAAGTTACAGCAATAGAAGCGAATCTGACAGATGACGAGAAGAGAAACGGGTGTTTGCTTGTTGTTATCTCTGTTTTTGCATCGATGTAACTCGCCAAAATCTATTTGTATCATACGGAATGATTGCGAAGTCCAGTAAAATTAATATGGACGTTTTTAGGTTTAAAACAACCGTAAAATCCAATGTTGCGAAATTACCTGAATGAGCATGTTTTCCGGTAACTACACCATCTTCACAGTTACTTTATAACCATTGCAGTTATCGATCACCACCTCTGTACTGTACTGTTGCAGGGGTGTTTTACATTGTAATGGGAACTACACGGGTGCATATCTCTGCAAAGTGCTCGGAGCCACTGTGTGGTGGCTGTTCGTTCTGTGCTTTCTAGGGAAGCGATGATATCGGGACATGTACATTGAGCTAGGGACACCGTTCGGTGTTAGAT